CTTCTTTGAGAGTGTTCCTCAATGAAAGAAGAATCAAAGGATGATTGTCGACCCAATGGGAGGTATCGTGCCTGGTAGCCAGGAAGTTTTTAGACATCAGTGAAATCTCTCCACAAGACCATTTGTGCACGGATCATAAGCCATCGTACGAATGTCTTTTTCCCCCCAAGTAGGTGGATAAACTCTTTAAATAGGGATGACTGTTGTGATCACCTGGGGCATACTGAAGATCACAATCTATTCCCGTAGAACTGCTTTGGAGACTGTGTTGGCTGAGGTGTCCTTGATTGGTATAGCTGTTGGCCAATGAGAGAAATGGCCCACTATTGCCAGAGAAAACTGGTACCCTTGACACATAGGCAATGGACAAATTGTGTCGATGTGGATGTGGGAGAAACTTTGGGGTTGTCGAAGGTACCAACTGACGTCTAGTATGCCGGTGTACTTTGCATGTTTGGCACTCTGTGGAAACCCAATCTCAGACATTAGAGTTTGTGTTAGGCCACACAAAGCAGTCTGCGATGAGCTTAAGTGTGGCCCATTTGCTAGGGTGAGACAACCCATGCAGATGTCTAAACACCAATTTCCTGAGTGTTGGAGGAAAGTAGGGTCTACGAAACCCAACTTGACATCACAGTATAACGTATTGTTGATGAAGGGAGCTGGAAACTTTTGAAGCTCCAAGTGCTCCTCATAGGGTGGAGTTTGATTTTTGCTCCTCAACTATCAGAGTATCAACATTGAGAGTGTTAAGTCCAGTGCGAGAAAGTGTATTGGCAACTGCGTTGTTTTCTCCTTTAACTTAGTGTAGATCAGTAGTAAACTGAAAGATATAGTCTAAATGTCTGATCTCACACGAGAAGTATATTTGCAGGAGTTGTTGTTCATAACCATTGTTAAGGGTTTGTGGTTGGTAAAAATCATGAAAGCTGACTCTCTAACAAGTGCTGGAATTATCTGATTGTCAAATAAATCGCTAACACTTCCTGAGAGAAGGTATTGTTTCACTACTAGGCTGGAGAGAATTTGGCAGAAAAGAACGCAATAGATTTACATTGAGGAAGCACTGTGCCTACCCCTGAGTTCAACGCATCCATCGTCAGACATATCCTAGTTTGTGGATCGTTTTCAATGAATGACAGTTTGGTAAAATTTACCAGCATGGTTTTAACTGTGTGAAATGCATGCAGAGGGTCGCCCTCCAAAGAAATGCCCTTATTCCTACTGTGAAGGAGGTTTGTCAGTGGATAGAGGAACAGTTAGTGATTAATTGCCAATAGAAGTTGATAATCCCTATAAAATGAAACAGATGCTTGATAGACATTGACGCTATAAGTTCTGAATTAATTTAACCTTCTCAGGTAGTGGGGCGATCCCATTAGCATCAGTGTGGTGCCCAAGGAAGTTGATGTGAGCAGAACCGAATACACACTTGTCCAGGTTCAGTCGGAAACTGTAGTGTGATAGGTGCTGTAGGACTTTGTGTAGGTGTCTATGGGAAGTAATGTCCTTACTGGCTATCAGGATATCATCAATGTATGCGTACACAAATGGTAAACCACATAAGGCTTCATCCCTCAGCCTCTAAAATGTTTGGGACGCATTACGCAACCAAGCAGCATTTTTACAAATTCATACAATTCAAAGGGTGTTGTGACTGTGGTTTTTGGGATATCCTACAATGCAACAGGAATCTGATAAGAAGTTTTAGTCAAGTCATTCTTGGAAAAGATAAACGTGTCCTGTAAAACCTGACGCAAAATCATAGATATGAGGCACGTGGTTACGGTCAGGAATGGTTGAGTCATTGAACACTTTGTAGTCCACTCAGATCTGAAAGTCTCTCTTACCAGGCTTAGGCATCAGATGTAGCAGCGAGGCGTGTGGACTGATTGAAAGGCAGATAATGCCACCACTCAACATTTCATCGAAGGCTTTCTTGGGTGTCGGCAGTTGTCGATGGCGGGTTTGCTGGTTTTCCAGACATCTTAATGTGGTGCTATGTTTGGTCTTTGCTTGAATCAGTACTCTTAATTGGCTAAAGTAAATGCATATATTGATTCAGGATCTCTAAGTACTCCCACACTGATCCTCATGGTATTGTGGCATGTAAGAGTATTGTCCAAAAGGGACCTTGTATTTACGTGGACTACCAAAATGTAATGCACCAGGATGTCTGCGCCAAGGATGGGTGTTTTAACTTTCGCCATGGGGAAAGACCAAGTGTAATCATGCGTCATGCCGATGTTTACGGTGAGGAATTTGCAGCCGTATGTCTCTATGATGGAGCTGTTAGCTGCTTGTAGTTTGAACAGGACCAATAATATTTTAGATTCTTCTTTGTATTTTATTAAAAATCTCTAAATACATAACAGAAGCACCTGAACAGATATGACATCAATATTCAATGCATAGATAAATGGTAGACTTATAAATGATTAAGATTCTGGCAAGAAAAATTGTCTAACATGACACAGTGAACCAACTTTCTTAGCAAGCAGACCTAGCAATTGATTCAATATAATCTTTACACTTAACATCAAGAGAAAATGTTAGCCCAAGAAGGGGCGATTCTCCTGGAGCTTCACATCAGATGGAAGGTAAAAAATGTTCTCTATGATTATTAAAAGAGAGCAGCTTTATTTTGAAGACATTAAAATTAACAAGCCATTCCTTACTCCAAATTGTAGATCATTTTTTATATCAGCTGCCAATTTGGTCTTATCAAACCAATTGCACTTAGCATTAGACAGGAGTAAATAGTTGTGTCATCAGATTAGATACTGAGTTGGAAACTGATGACATTGGGAAAGTTGTTGATGTAATTAGAAACAATATAGATTCCAAGGATAGAACCCTGGAAGACACACATGTATTAATGTAAAAGATTGAAAAAAGTGGACAACTTTCATTTCATGATTTGATAAGAAAGATTGAATCAGATCAAAAATTAATACAAAAATATCATAAGCTTTCAAATGGAAAGAGACCAGCATACTAAACCCTGTCAAATGCCTTCAAGATATCCAAAGCAACAGATTTATCTAAATTCAAGTACTTTATTCTCATTTTAAAAGTTTTCAAAATTTTGTTGCAATTTTTAAAGGAAGATATTGGAGTCACTCCAAAATAATACTTCCAATTTTATTATGTTGGCCCACAATGTTTTTACTATGGCAATGTAGGAGGAACTTTCCAGATAATAATTATTTTTGCCTTGAAAAATAATTGAGTAGCAATCTGATAAAATGGCACCTGAGATGAAATTGCATATGAAGAAGTGGTTGGTCATTTAATTCATTCTTAATATTTAATAATACATGTTGAATGCTTATGGAAACTAAATAATGAATGTGGACAGAGTTGGGGATGGATAATACATTTTAGGAATGGCTAAACAATGTATGTGACAAGCCCCATTTATCTCAAGTGGAACATGCAGGCTCATGTCCAGTATTGGTGAAAATGCATAGGCAATAGTGGTAACTATGTAGAAAAATGTTTTATAGCTGAAAACTTACTCTATCCAATAATGTTATTGTGCTTCCTATATCTATTATAGTTTCTGTGGAAATAAATAGGAGGCATTAGTTTCAGAACATCCTTTATATAAAGTTTGTGAATGTTTTATGCATTTCAAATGGTTCTATTAAAACTATTTCCCATATTTTTAAGATTCTCATAAAATAATATCCCACTTTTTTTGAATATCTAAAGGAAAATCATTTTCAGGAAATTATGATTTTATTAACACATAAATTCTTGAATTTCAAAGTAGAAAAGTTATAAATTTATTCTTGCAATAAATTTTAAGCTTCAAATCATCTATAATATTGACATTGGTCAAAAAAATACTTCTGAAGATACAGTGATTGCTGAAGTTTTATAATAAAAAGTGTAGATTGTATCCTTCAAGTCTTATCAAATAATCAATTAAAGATACTAGTAGAAAATAACTATTGCTTAAAAATTACCTAAAATTTGTAAGTTCATATAAGAAATTTCAAAGTATCTAAAGCAAAATGAAGAACAAACTTGTTCAATATTGAAATACAATTTATTGAATTTATATTGCTTACTATTTATTGCTAGATTATACATGTCAATGTCCTGAAAGGCATGAATTTCATGTTAACACTGCAAAAATTCAAATATTAATCAAGTCTTGCTTTTACATGAATAAAAGAATTCAATTAAAATTTATTCTGTAAGCTTTATGACATGTTTATAACTGTCCTTATTCCCAAATGAGTAGTTTGTCAGTGATAACAACTCAATCAAAACATTTACCAAATATGCTTAAGTCTGGTACAAGGCCATCTTTTATGATGTTAATGTTTAATTCACTGAAAATACTTTGCTTATCACTACCATACTATATTGAAACAAAAATTTAAAAGGAATTTCTGTAGATTTAACATTTTATTTATATTTAAGCAATGAAATGTAAACTTGAAATATATTGGAATTTATTTTTATATTTGAAAGCATTTTAATATTTAATATTTTAAATGAAATGCTTTAACTTAAAATAGTTTAGAATCAGTACATTAAGTTTTCATTCATTTATCAGCTTTATTTATTTAGTTTCAGATTAATTTATGAGTTTAAGAATTTGTCATGTAGCAAAAACTTGTGTGTGCTAGAGAAAGTGTGTGTATTTGAATTGTTTTTATGAGTATAACATCTTAATATGGTTTTTCTTTGAGGAATAAACAAGTCAAAACCACTAAAATATAAGAAAGATGTAAAATAAATAAAATAAGAAATAATGAAAATCAGACTTCAAAAAGCCTATCCTTGTTACTATATGTGCAACTGTTGTCATGAATGAAAGTCATGACGTACATTGTAGACAACCTGTTAGCAACGCCACCTAAAAATTTTTTCAACAGAATCCATTTTCGTCTGTACAACAGGGCAACACAAAACATCTGTAACTATAAACCACAATTAATTCAATTGCTTAAGAATAAAAACAAAATATTTAAGCTTATTACCTTTTTCCCAATCACTTGCTGTATTCAGATGAAGAGCAGCAATTTTTTACAGCCACGTGTACTAACATCTTCAGTTAGGAAAGTGTTAAGAATTTGTGTATTGTACTAAGAAGTCATGAAGTGTGAATAAAAGCGTAAGCGATCAAAAGGCTTGAGCAGCTTGCTGCATTCAGTGCACGACATAGAATGAATTATATGATTATCCTCAGTAGTGGTAGTAGCAGTAGTAGCAATAGCAACCATGGAAGATAGATCAATATCGTAGCTGCAGTTAAAGGTAGGTAATAACAAGATGAAGCTGCACAAAAATCAATCCACTTAGAATTCTGATGAAATTGCTTTTGAAAATAATTGCTAATTCAGAATTGAAAAAATTTAAAGTCTTACACGTTACAAATGATTATCATACAATCAGCTGTAAAAGAGACATTGTTTGAGATACATATTTTGCTTTCATTCATGAAAAGACAAATATTACAAATGAGTTGGGTGCTTATGTAACATCAATAGAAAGTCCAAGTATATTCTAAAGTAAGTCAGATTTTATTATACAAATAAATGAATTCACAATAAAATTGGCATAAACCAAGTGATAATTGTAAAATTTTTCAGGATATATTTCAATCTATATGAGCAATATATCATGTGAGTTTCAGCTTATAATATCAAACCTTATTAAAAAATAGTGACAATAATTTGTTTTGGGAATGTCAGGTTTTATCAGGCAAACTAAATGCAACAAAGATTTTTATCTAGAAATAAATCCAGAGCTATAAGTTATAGAAAATATTTGATTAGCAATATTTTACATACCTCAATAAATTATTTTATTCCTGTACATGTTAATCTGGACACCTCAGCATTCTAGAACAATCATATGTGTTTCATTAAATGATTTTTTAAACATATCATAATTTCATCTTTAATATTATTTGCAGAAGTTTTATTGCTTTCCAGAGATCTTCTTTGTTTGAATTCCTGTTTTCTATTATATTATTTAAGTTTTTTATTTAATTAATTTGAGAGGTGGAAGTATTCCATTAATTTGGTGTCATTAAAATATTTTTGAAAAGGTGGACAATAATCAATTTTGCAGAATATGTAGAACTGATTTGCATGAATATGCCTTTTAGCTCCAAGCTTCTATGTTGTAATTTTTACTACTCAAAAAAATATCTTGTTCAAGAACTTGCAATAATTCTCTGTATTTATCCACTTTGAGTGAACATAATATTAATGCCTTCAATACAAGCCTAAAACATTACGTTACCTCTCCACTAAATGTCTTTTAAATCATATTAGTTGACTATTTCCATGAAACACCCAAACCCTAACCCAAGCATCAGGTCCATCCTATGTAGTTCTATAATCATCACTAAAAAATTACTGTTGAAAAATCAGTTTTCATGTATTTCTTTGCCTAACTTACAATTTTTCTTTGTGATCTTTTACTTCTTTCATGTCTTTATCCAATATTCAGCATCTTTTCTAAAACAAATACACAATACCAGCTTCATCAAATATTTTCTTGCTATTAAATCTATCTTTCCGATTTTTCTCAAATTTCTTTTTCTAACATTCTTAAAATCAGTTCTTTTGTCCTTATTATAGAGATACAAAAATAATTATTCACTCTTAAATATAGTGTCATGTGACATGAAAAAGAAAATAAGGCTAGTTATACCAGCATGAAGAAGCAAGCAAAGAAAAACATATCCCTTATCTCTCAAGGTGAGAGGAAATACCTCTACATGATTATCTTTGATGAAACACTGCAACATTCAATTAAGAGGCTTTTTCTTTCTTCGTTAACATTTCTCTTTGTTTATTGAGATAATGTATGTGGCAACATAGACAACTTAGTTTGTAATACTTTCTATCAACACTTGGTTTCATATTTGAAATTTTTAAATAAATTTTGTATTGTGTGTGTAGTATTCTGTAGTATTCCCATTTTGTCTGTAGCATGTTTTCTTCTACTAATATCCACCGACTTTCTATTAATAACCTCCCTTGGTTGCCACTCTCCTGATTTAACCTGTAGCCATCTTGTTAGTTAATTAAGGTCATCTAAACATTTCATGTTTTGCTGTTATCAGTTCAATTTAATGAACTAACAAAATGTAAGCTTGGCCTAAACTAAGTATGGATAAATTCCTCAAATCAGAACATTTGGATATATCACTGAACTCTTCATCAGTTGACAAGGAATTCGCTCACCAGTATCGTACTTTCTCTGTTTTTATATATTCTATCCAAACTAATGATTCTATGAGACTCAAAGCACTTTTTAACTTTGTTTCTCCCACAGTGTATGAATATATTACGGAGTGTGATGATTACGAGTCAGCTATAAACATTTTAAAGGCACTTTCCACAAAAGAACAAAAAGATAGACAAGTGTGTGGAACAGCTTCAACTACTTTGTAAAGATTCCAATTTCAAATCTGTAAGCACCTCTCAGAATTAAGATGACTGTATTAGAAACACTTTTATTAGTGGCTAAATTTCACATACTATTATACAGCACTTTCTAGAAAATAAAATTCTCAACTTAAGTATAATGGTAGATCAGAAATGCTCTGAATCATACACACGTTCTTTTACACCAGTTGTAAATGCTATTGCTGAAGTGGAATCAGATCATTCTGCCACTTGAACTTGGGCCATTACAGCTACAAAAATAGCTGCTATTTATATGGAGGCACTAGTCACAATTGTAATCAGTGCCTGGTAAAGGAGACCACATGTTACAAGTGTGGTAAAATGGGACACTTTTCTAAGGTTTGTCGATTAACTAAGTCATTTACAGCATCTACAACCCTAGATACTACATTTTCAGCTTCTTCAGAACTACTTAAGTAAACTACTGATTTGTTTTAATCAACAATAAGGAAGATACAGCTCCTGTTGCCACTGAAAGTAATGGATCTTTCACTGCTTTATGACTATGCCAAGAGGTATAGGCTAAAGATGGATTCTACAACTGGGAATGTATCCATGCCTTCTTCATTATTGAATTCTCCAGTAAAGAGACTCTATACACTTGAAATAAACTTACTAGGTAAATCATATCCTAACACAAGGCTTTCTGTTTTAACTGAACTTTGCTGTGATCTGATTCTAGGTCAAGATTTTATGGGCCAAAACTCAGAAGTATCATTTACTTTTGGTGGCACCAAGAAAAGTCTTCACATTTCTAATTTTACTTCCTACAATGTGCCATCTGCTTATTAAAGAAAGTAAATCTCATTGGAAGGATCAGGTCCTTATCATAAGCAACATACATCATTAAAAAAGACTGATTGTTGACTGTAGCCAAACTATCAACAAAATCACCCACCTTGATGATTACCCTCTCCCAAAGATAGACGATATTGTCTGTGAAATTTTTCAGTTTAAACACTACAGTTCATTAAACCTGAAGAGTGCTTACCAGCAAATACCCATACAAAGTGAGGACAAACCATACACTGCTTTTGAAGCTAACAGCAATCTTTATCAGTTCTACAGAATTCCATTTGGGGTCACAAATGGTGTAACGTGTTTTCAAAAGATAATATTATAAGACAACATAATTCTTGGAACCTAAAGCTATGTAGATAAAATTATCATTACTGGAAGGACTCAGCAAGAACATAATCAAAAGTTCTATAAGAGTGTCCAGCTTCACAATCTCACCTTTTATGAAAAGAAGTCAGTCATATCAACCAAATCAATTGACTTTCTTGGCTATACAATAACCCATGGTCCACTAAGAATAATGTGGAGAGAGTGAAACCCCTTAAAGAACTACCAGTCCTTAAGGACAAGACCTCTTTACACCATGTTGTTAACCATTTCTCCTATTATTCCCAGTGTATTTCAAAGTCTTCTGATAAGATTAAACCACTGGTTGCTGCCGAAATATTTCCTCTCAATCAAGAGGCAATAAAAGCATTCAGTGACCGTAAAGAGGAAATCAGAAAAGCATTGTTGCATTCCATTGATGAGACAATACCACTCATAGTAGAAACTGATGCTTCTGAGAATGACATTGCAGCTACTTGGAAGCAAGCAGATTGCCTGGTTGCCTTCTTTTCCCATACACTCACTCAAACAGAACACAAGACTGCATTTGTTGAAAAGAAGTCTGTGCCACAGTAGAGGTTGTGAAAAAATGCTCTCACTACTTGTCAGAACAAAAACTGATAATAGTCAAAGATCTGCAGGCTGTAAACTTTGTTCCACTTAAAAAGATTAGGAAAATTAAAAATACCAAAATTCAATGATAGAGGATAGAATTGGGATGCTACGATTATGATATAATGTACTGATCTGGCAAAGAGAATATCCTCTCAAGACCACATTGTTGGACTGCCATCAACAAAGAAAAATTATCAGATCTCCACATTCATCTTTGTCATCCCAGAATAACTATAATGGCTCATTTTGTTAGGATAAGAAACTGAGTGTACTTTATATGCTTGACTAAAACCACAATTTTAGTTTCATTTCTGTAAAAGTACCTGACAAAACTGGGAATTTTAACCAGCATAACAACACTTTAAGATCCACAAGGAATGGACAATGTGAGTGTTATAATAGCATTATCTGGAGACACAGATTGACTTTCTATTGATAACCTCCCTTGGTTATCACTCTCTTGATGTTAAATATAGCCATCTTGTTAGTTCATTAAATCTTTCTAAAAGTCCCACATATTCCTGTCATCACTTCAATATAAATTCTCTCATCTTTTCATCCGATTCTATTTCAGACTTAGTTCAGTCAACCAGATCAACTAATGCTAGCTAAGAATTGTTGAGTGGAATATTGCTTTTCCTGACCAATGCTTACATTATGTTGCTAATGTTTTTAATTTCTTTTTTAAATGTCTTGTGATTTCTGTTCAACTTTTTCACAATTTCCAACATTGTGTTCCAATTACTCAACAATTTTAGAAAATCTTGTTACTCTTTTGAGGTTATATCTTTCTTATGACCCATGGCACTCTTTACATATCTGAAATTAAATAA